ACACACGTGCAATCACCGCTAAATGAACTTTAACACAGGGGTATCTCCTCTTGCACTTTAGGTAGCTCTTGTATCTCCTCTTGCACTTTATATGTCGTTGCTACTATATTGTATTACCGTGTCATAAATACTTGTGTATATTGCTCTTGCTCTTTTGCACCTTTTGCATATTATGTATTTTGTTTTTACTATGCTTGTAAAATGTAAACTTCTTAAATGTTTTATGTGAGGGACTGCGGATGGAAATTAGCTCAAAGCTAAATCTGGAACTGTTACGCTTCCCTGCCAAATAAACGATTAAATAAATAAAATACATTATGTTGAAGTATAGACAGCAACACTGACAAACCACATTTAACATTAGTTAAGGTTCAGGATAACATGATGTTGTGATGGAACATTTGAAATATCCATTATAAAGTATGGTCTTCCAAAGGATTTCTTGTATGAAACCTCACGCTGCCAAAACATTAAAACAAATGTTGAGACTTTACAGCAAATTGAATATGATAAATGTTCCAGTTGAGAGATGTGCTATTTTGAGGAAATTGAAATCTATTAACTTCCCTATATTTCCACGCAGGTGTTGCGTCAGAAGCAGACGGACGCTCCAGAGGTCAAACAGGTGTCTGTCCGCAGGTTTGCAACGTTTGACCTTTTCAGCAGGAAGAGGCTTCTGACTCAAGACCCCAGTGATACCTCAGACGACCAGTGGGTGGAGTACAGAAGTGTCTTCTTTCCCGAGTACAGTGCCTTGCTCAGGTACACACACATGAATGGATCCAAATAAGGCTCTAGTTTCAAACTGGCACAGATGAAGCACAGCGACCAAACAAGGGGTCGTTTCATGATAACACAGAACTTAACACGTTGCAGGTTCATAAAGTGAAGAGCAAAGTATCTACAAGGACAAACCATACAAGAGATGATGTTATTAAGTCATTACCTAAACAACACCTTTTAATATAGTGATTCAAATGCTGTTGAATTCAACTTTATTCGTCTCAATGTTGCTTTTTTATTTTCCAAACTCTTATTCAATGCAATTGAGATTTGAAAAGAAATACATGCTGACTTATCTTGTTAATTTCCTTTTGTTATAATGTATTTAAACAACAATAGTATTCACCCATGCCGCTGTGTAATCCTCTTTATTTGTCTGTTTCAGGGACAACATGGGGCCTATCCGAGTTAACGAAGTGCTCAACAGTTTTGACAACACCGGTAATGTCTGTAAGTACCTACTTTATCTTACTACTACTTGCATTGTGTTTTCAATATGGTCGAGTCAGTATGATGTTACTTTCACACAGTTTGTTTGACCTGCACTCACTTTTATCCCATCCTGACACACACACACACACACACACACACACACACACACACACACACACACACACACACACACACACACACACACACACACACACACACACACACACACACACACACACACACACACACACACACACACACACACACGCTCAAACTCTGGGTTAGCCTCATGCTGTGTGCTGCTAGTGTTTGATTGATGGTTTGATGCGGGTGGTTTGATTCCATCTCTTTGAATGGTAGTACGTCTCTCGTGTGGCTTCCGATGGGATTTATCATGTATGCTCATTCCTCCCAACTACCTTCAAATGTCCTTGAGAAGGAAAGTGGGCTTCAGTCTTCTTATCCTCTCAGTCGACAGTGATGAGTGGTTTGGGAGAAAGGTAAGAGCGTGACTCAAACAGGGGCTTGCAAATGCTTTATGATATGAAGTGGAATATGATCACCTGAAACACAAGAGCCTTGGCCTCACCTTCATTCTGTCAAGTTTCTCTGAGGCATTTAGCTCAACTTCTGGTTGAGTTGGGTTGTATTCTGCTCTATTCAGTTATTGCTTATTGCTATATTTTTACAATCCTTTTGTAGAGCTATTTCAATCAGACATGCATGACTGCTGTTTACCTGAGTGAATCACTTCTGTCAGCTACAAGCATTTGGATTGTAAAATGACTTGTAAGCATGCACATGTCATGTTAATCGTATGTGTATTCCTCTCATTAACTATATACACTCAGTAGCTACTTTAAACATCCATCCATCCATCCATCTTCTCCCGCTTATCCGTGGTCGGGTACTTTAAACATTTTCACCCAAATAATGTATTATTATTGAAATCCAATACAACGTTTCTCACCTGAAGTTTACTTTTTGATGCCTATAAAGTTTTTTTTGACACTCATAGGTTACATTTGTATGTTTAGCATGAGGTATAGGTTTGTAATATTCTGCCTATCTTATGTATATTGATAGTAATAACAAGGAACTCTCAATGTGCAGTACAATACCACTGCAAACTACATCCTCAATAATTCATACGTCATTTAATGTCCACCTTTTGGAAAATGTGAACAACAACTGAACTTAATACACTTCATGAAGGTATCATTTGTGGCAGAGCTGTTGCATTAGATGGCAGCTGAATGCATGTTGTGTTTATTTGTAAGTTGCATTCAAAGCCATACAATACATCTTTATAGTCAAGTTAATTAAAATGTGTCTTTTGATTACACCTCAGCCATATCAAATATTGAAACAATGCTAAGTATCATCAGAAACAACAACATTATGCATTAATAGAGCTTCTTCTTTGATGATATCATGTATATGAAGTTGTTTAATACTTTTCTCTGTGCAGGTCCATCTTCACAGGCATGTGTTGGGTTAGGACAAAGGTCATGGGTTAGTGCTAACCAGCCAGATGGCTCCATAGGACTCGGGGTCAGAGGTGAAGGTCATGGCTAGAGGCTACTTCATTGCACACTGGGATCAGACTATATAAGTCATGACAGAGCTCAGCGGCAGCTCTCATTCCAACCTGCTAGAACGGATAATCCCTATTCTCTTCAAGGAGACAATAGGATCAATACCTTTTCCTTTGTAGAGAGAAAATGGAGAGGTCATCATGTTTTTGCCTTGTGGCATTCGAGCAACCTTCACTGTGTTTGTGATTTGCATTTCTCCTTCCCTGTCTTTCTTCCTCTTCGTCCTCTAATAGTGACTTCTCTCTTCCCTCATTTCTTTTCCCCTCTCGTGACTTACAGTATAACCCTTCATCCCTCTTTCCCATTCCACCCCTCCTACCATTTTCTCCTCTGTCTTCCTTCCACCCCCTCCATCTCTCTCTCCTCCCAGCTGGAGTCGTGCTTGGCCAGATGGGTAACTGAGTTCCTGACTTGGCCGGTGGATTAGCACAGCCGGAGATGAGAGCATAAAGGTGGGGAGAGGAGAAAAGGGGTAGAAGGGGAGATGGTGGGTGGGCATGCCAGAGGTGGTGTGTGTGTGTGTGTGTGTGTGTGTGTGTGTGTGTGTGTGTGGAGAGCCGAGCCACTAGCAACGGGACCTCGTTCGTCGAACAATGAGCCAGCCATCTCCCTCCTGTTCTCCATTCCATGTTTGGGACTAGTAATGCGTGAGATCAATTAGGATTGGTTGAGAGGAGGCTTTGAAAGGCCCAGAGGTGACCCTGTCAGAGCTCTGGGGTATATTTTTTGGGATGGGAGTCAGGGAGAAACCCCTCTAAATACACAAACATACACACAACTACTTACCTTTACCCCTCACTAAGATATAGAGCCACACACTCATACTTGCAAACAATCCACACAGTCTTGCTAATGAACACATATTCACTTTGCCCACCATCCCACCCTCTCCACCTTTCCTGTTATCTTGATAATCCCCCCTACCCCTGAGGTGTGGACAAGCCCAAATCCTAGGGGTCCTTGTCCTTCTGAATAGCGGGCTAAAAAGCCTGGCCAGATTAGCCCACTGCCTCTAAAATGTGTGGACTCAGCTTCAAATTGCTATCCCCTCTCAGCATGACTCGCTCTGCCGGCTATTGTGCTTGTGCCACCACTGTGCATATATGTGAACATTATGTTGGTCGTAAGGTGACGATAAGCTGGAGTCAATGGTTTCATTGCAAGACCCGAGGAGCGGCCAATGAGTCTCAATGAAGATGTTTTAGGGAATGGAGAGCGTATGTTAGAGATGACATCATATCAATTAAAAGACTTTTAAATATTTGGGATTTAACGTCACTTATGCCTATTGTGCCTTTTATTTGTTTTGAAAAGATATTTAAATCCTAACAAAAATACATACATTTGGTTCAATGTAGAATGTAGAATCCAATATGTTTCAAATACAGCCCATTACGTGTTGTATGTCAGGCTGTACTGTAACACAGTGCTTGTATTTGTACAGAAATACTTAATTGGGCACAAATAAAATAAATAAAAGTAAAACAATACAATCGATAAACTAAATGAAGGCTTTAATGCCAAGGGGATCTATAAATCAGAACGTTATCAATATAAACTCTGATCATATTGTATGTCATACTCACAGTGGGAGACCATCTTTTAAATCAGTAGTATATGTAGAAAAACTATATATTTGATTTGTAGGTATTTAAGTGGTAAACATGTTTTATCTTCTTTTATTAAAAAAAACCTGTCGCTCAAACTTTGAATTGTTTTGATAAATTAGTACTCTAAGCATATACAAATATATTTGGACTTAGTTTGTATGACGTTCATTTTGTGTTAGGACACTATTATTATTATAATTATTATCTTGTTGCTCCTTTCAATCAAGGCTTTTTGTGTTTAAATGTGCCCTCATGCTGCTACTGATGTTGGTGCTCTCTCTCTAATAGTTTTTTTTGGGCAACCTCACTCCCCTTCTGATCCGATGTCTCTTTTTAAAAATGTAAACTCGTAAAAGTTAGTCTAAGTTAAGAGTTTTGTACCTGGGTAATTTACAGCAGCCATATGTAGGCAGTATCGGACAGTTGACTTTGGTTCGTTTCACACTCAAGTACAAAGCCCCCCCTCTGGTGGTGATTCAAAAATCAGTGCAGTTACATTTGTAACTCGTTATTTGTTGTCAATGAATAATTGGCCCTGTTTCAGACTGTTCTTGATCACTTTGAACTATTTGAACCCTGAACTTCCGACCTTCCTTTAGCTGACGACGGGGGCTTGTAATTGTAAGAGAGCTTTGTGCGGCCGTTGTTTGGGGTTTTAGGGGTGCTTGTTTCCTGCTAGGGATCAGGATTTAAGGACACAATACAGGCCCTTGGGGTTGGGTGACTAAGAATGCATCAGAGGAGGTGTGTGCATGTGTGTGTGTTTGAGAGGGTTTAGGGAGAGCTTGTTGACATTGCAGGGCTTTTGGTAAGGGGGCTTGTTGGGCTGTGGGGTTACTTGTTGGGTTCATTTTGCAGGGAGAGGTTACCGTGACACACACACGCTAACAACTTACTTTTTCTGCGTGTTATAGTGTTTAGTATGTTCCATTGCAGTTAAGCTCGGCCTCATTTAGACAAATGCTTTCCCTTTTCTTGTATTAGTGTTTGTGCGTCTTTGTGTGTGTTTAATCAAGAGCCAAGCATCCTAATGAAGCCGAATAAAGCCTTCTTCTCTACAGCTGTCATTGTCTGAATGGCTTCTCCTTTCAGCCTCTCACTCATCCCTATTATCTCCCACAGACTTCACTGGTAAATGCTAAGCCCTGAATGTTTGAGTGTTGGGAGGGGAGGGGAAGTTTCTAGCTGGTAATTTCTGTGTGTACATCCGTTGTTTAGTCTGGTATGTGACTGTTTGTAACGGGAGGATGTTTATAACATGGAAATAGGACTGGGTGGTATGGACAAATCATATATATCACAATATTTCTGATTTAAATAGCTCGTTATTATAGAGTTGAATATAAGTGCTTTCACAAAATATTCACACATGATATTTTTGATCAACTATCATTAGTGATGTGGATATAAGGGCTAAGTGGCTAAAGACAAATAAAGAACACTGTCTGTTCGGTTAAGAATATGTGATCAATTTACTGTTATGCAGCCTTTGAAACTAGAAAAGGAAAGGTATGGATATTGCGATCTCCGAAATGTTTGAGGAGTCTCGTAACACCATAATGATGTATTTATAATTTGCACAGACTACGTGCTAAAGGAATAAATGCTACTATAAGTAATATGTTTAATTACCAAATAAGCCAATGATCATTCTACATAACAGACTTGTGTTCTTGTCACTTCCTGTTGGAGTCTTAGACAGGTGTGTGTGTGTGTGTTTTCTGTATCCAGTGGATCTGTCACATTCATGTTTGCGTGTTTAATGTTTTGTACCAGAGTCTCAGTTTTCTTAGTAACTGTTAGTGAGTGTGTGCATGCACTTCTAACCATGTGCATGTGTGTGTGTGTGTGTGTGTGTGTGTGTGTTGTAATAGGTGCCCCCCGTAGTCTTCCCTTGTGCCAAGCCTTTAGCGGAGCCCTGTTTGCATAATTATGCTAATTCATTGTGCCATGGTGCTAATTAGACCTTGTTAGACAATAGAGCTAGACTCGGGGCTGGCAGGCACACACACACACACACACACACACACACACACACACACACACACACACACACACACACACACACACACACACACACACACACACACACACACACGCGCTCACTCAGACTGTTGTGTCAATGACAAGGTTTGCGGTCCCCCTCTGCGCTGTTTATAACGTGCTCTCTATAGAAATGGTTCTCTACTGGTGTGCTGTGGTCTGAGCTCAGGTGTCTCTTACGTTTTTCATTCAAGCTAACGGAACAGAAATCAATATGAAACAAAACACAAACTTCCTCACAATCTGAAAAAATGTGTCCATAACCAAATCATCTTTCTTTCTTATGTATCTCGATATTTTTCTAAAGTCCAGTCATGTTATTGTACATTCTGACAATAACCAATACTACTTCAGAAGTATTCTTTTGGTTGACAGTCTGATTTGACGAGTCAGTCCTGGACCCTTTATTAGGTACATTTGTATTATTTCTAGAAAAACTGTTGGATAGAAGACCTTTATTTTCCAAAATGCATCGTATTATTGGTATTTAAATGTTCATACTAATGGCAAACAGGAAAAAGTTGTACTGTGATGACATAATAACCTTATCTGGTGTCTTGAGGTTTTACCCGTAGTGCAACGCATATGCAAGAAACATGTTTCAGGAGAGATTGAACAGATAGTTACAGGAGGACGAAACAGGTTTTGCAGTTACAGATTTGTTTTATAAAGACTTTTTAAAAAGATGACCCCAGCCTCTCAGCCATTGTAGATTAACGTGCTGTGGTATGATGAAGAGTAGATCCTAATTCTGTTCAGCTTCATCACTTTTTGAGCTGCACTATTTTTCGTTTTTACAAGACAGGCTAAATGTTAACGACATGGTCAATACATGTGGCTAACCCAACCACACACTTAATGATTCCTCGACCTCTTCTGTCAGCATGCATTTTAAATACATTGTGTGGTTTTTAAATTAAAATGACTGTTTGATTAACACATTTCAAAGAAGCCAAATGAGTCGCACAAAGCACAATTAGGATGTTTGCCTCTTGTTTGTTCTTAAGAGTTGGATACAAATGACAGACTGAATTGCTTCATAAGAACATTTTTAGCCATTGCCAGAATAATTGTTTCTAAGTCAATAATTTAACCACTAAACACAAAAAGACAGTCGCACAGTAAGTGGATCTGGCTCTTCAAGTGTGTATGCACATGTGCCTGTAGTGTGTGTCACTTTGTGGTGCAGGAGTGGGGGTTGGAGGTAGTGTAAGCAAGACTTGAGTGGCTTGAGGGCACATTGAAAGAGTTGCCGGTTGACTTAATTGAAAGTAATTGATTTTCGCTTCTGTAGCCTTGTCTCCTCCATCCGCTCACTGGAGGAAACAAGAAACAGGGACTTGCCTGCAGTCTTGTTGGGTGCTGGAAGCTTCTCGACACTCGAGAAGTAAACAGTCGTCACACTTTATCTCAACACAACTTGAAGCTAATGTGCAGATGCAGACATAGATGTTTGTGTGCATGCATACTAACACAAGTGCAAGCTGAAACTCTATGCAGTAAACCACCATTTTGACTGTGTGTGTGTGTGTGTGTGTGTGTGTGTGTGTGTGTGTGTGTGTGTGTGTGTGTGTGTGTGTGTGTGTGTGTGTGTGTGTGTGTGTGTGTGTGTGTGTGTGTGTGTGTCCAGATGCATGTGCACTATTACCAGTAAGCGGTGGGGATTAAGTTCAGGAAATGAGTAGAGCGTTAAAGGTTGCTTCCCTGCCCAGTGCTTTTGCATTGTCACTGCCGCTAATACTCAGCTAATTACAAGGACATACTTTAGCAGCAAGCTCAGCCCGTAACCCCTCATGTCTCTCCAACCCGCTCCCTCCCTTTCTTAGGTTACCCCCTCACCCTAGAATTAGGGGATGCAATGAAAGAGAGAAAGAAAAGAGAAAGAGTAATAACAGGTCTCTCCCCTCCCTAAAAGCTCGCCCTCCCTCTGGACGGATACAATTATTGGATTTTTCTCCATTTAAGTCACCCAACCCCTATGTGCCCCTCCTGGCAATGTCCCCTATGGTGCCTAAGCTCAGCATACACTGGCCCTTCCAACCATGTAACACACACACAAAGAAAGAGAGGCAGTATATAATATCATTGAGTTGTGATTAACAGTTCGGAAATGGGCTATCAACCAGAAGGCCCTATCACCAACGTACAATATACTTCCTCCTGTTAGCTTTAAGGCTTTTATTCATTCAAAAGGCCTTTCTTAAGTCTGAAGGAAAGTGCTTGAGTCACGCTGTTCATACCGTTGTAGCACAAGTATTTTATACGTTGCCGTGGCTACTGTAATCATAGATAGCAATCTTCATAATTTCTCTTTAAAAATAAGTCATTCTTTTATACAAAACTAAACTTTGAGTTTAAAGAAAATCATACATCCCCACCTGCAGTCATAATAATGAATTCCCACTCGACATTATAGATCCTTAGGTAACAAATCTAATGCATTTGCGCAATACAGTGCAATATGTATCAATGGATCTAGCTGAGCCTTTTTCCTTTATACACTAACTTTGTCTCGCAGTGTGTCTATATGCGTAGTTGTGTGTACCATGAATGTATGCACACACACACACGAATGCTGTGAGTGTGCTTACATTAGAGAGCTAAGTGATTAGTGCATTGTTGTTAATTTGGCTCTCCTCCCTCTTGTACCCATGAAGTGCACCATGGGTACTTCCAAAGGCACAAGTGCACACATGAAAGTGCACAAGTGTGTGTGTGCTTGTTTATGTGTGTGTAAGTGTGTGTGGTTATGTCCCTGATGATGTTTTAAAACAAATAGATGATTAATGTGATTAGTGTGTTGGTCGGGAGTGAAACGGCTGTAGTAAATGGCTACATGGTCATATGGGAATACGCTTGGCTCCACTCCAAACACTTAGTGTGTGTGTGTGTGTGTGTGTGTGTGTGTGTGTGTGTGTGTGTGTGTGTGTGTGTGTGTGTGTGTGTGTGTGTGTGTGTGTGTGTGTGTGTGTGTGTGTCAGTATTTCCTTGCTTTGGATTGGTTTTACCATTTTCTCCCGACTTAGAGCTTTAAAAAATAATTCTGCAGTTAAGGAAATATCCTCAACATAAAATATAATTAGTTTAGAAAGGAAATGTTTTCTAGTGAGGCATTTTTCTAAAACAAGGAGGGTCATGCCTCTATTTTTCACAGTTTGATTCACCAGAACCTTTTAGGGACCTTATGAAAGGTTTTAAGAGATCTGTTGCCGACTCTTTGGATTATCATACCTCTAGTACTTCAGGACTTTATCTTCTGTTTAATTTACAGTCTGAGATAAACATGCAAAATATACTGAGGTATGATAAGTATAAGTATCATTACGTCAATCCTTAGTTCCTAAGTGTTTCCTCAAAAAGCCCCAACAGAGACGTGGAGCAGCCTTCAGCCTGTCAACACGTCTTCGTTGACAGTGCTAATGTGTTTGTTATTTAGCTAAAGAGCCATTAACTTGAACGTGTCTCACTATACAGCTTTAATGCTCAAACTGCTTCAGTAGTTGTTCACTCTGTCAGTCTCTTTCTGTCTGGAGACCCCCTAAATAGCCCCACTGGGGCCTTTAACTGTCAGTTGGCTGTGCTAACGCTAAAGTAAGTGTTGACACTAATGGTTGTGCTAAATGCTAATGGGAGCTAGCGTGGGCCTCTGAGGGGAAAGTTAACTGATTTTCAAGTGGCCCCTTGAGAAAGTGCACTAATCGCTAACTAGCAGTAGCATCTCTCTGGGGCTTTTGGGGCTATATAACTGCAAGCTGCCATATTGTGCTGTGTCTTTACTCCATCATTTGGAAATATGATGGGAAAACAAATTAAAGGGGCTTTTGTTTCTGTTTGATATGAGATATGGAAGACAACACAGTTGAATGATATGAAACACTGCAAGTTAAACATTTTAATATCCTAATAGTTATATGGCTTTTACATTTTACTTGTATTCTGTCCGCCTACTGTATCTTTCCACAGCAGACCATGGTGCCACGGACATTTGTGTTTGCCAACTGAGGCTGAAATACTCTCTCTCTCTGGACATGGAGATGCCTGGTCATAATTGTCTGTAATTTATCACATAATGGGCTGAGTATGAAATATAAAAAACAATGAAGTCAATGACCCTGTTTGTCACAAAGTCAGATTACTAATTAACTTTTTTTATTTAAATATAATTTTTATGGCCAGTGCAGTCCTCAGATTATGGATCATATGCCTTTCCCTAACAAGTGCACACACTTAATTAAATGTATCGATATCTTTTGCCAATTTGTCACAACATTGATTGGTTAGTAATGTATGAAAGTGCCTCTGTCTTTTGCACTGAGTTCAAATGTGCACAGTAGTTAGAAGAAGAGCTTGCCTTAACAAAGATTTGAGAAGAAAAACACATAAAAAAGCATGTCAAGTCCATTTTCTGATATAAAAGATATCACTATTATACATTTTTGGGATATTAAGAACAGGTAGTAGAAACAAAGACAAGATGATACCTTTTCAAACGTTGTGTTTTACTCTCTTCATCTCCTTATCTTTAAAGATTCAGGGGAGCAGAGCTGATATACCTCCAGGTTCTGATGTTGATTTTTGAGGCTGATATTTACACAAACACAACACACCTGTGTGTGTGTGTGTGTGTGTGTGTGTGTGTGTGTGTGTGTGTGTGTGTGTGTGTGTGTGTGTGTGTGTGTGTGTGTGTGTTAGGGTCACCTGGCCTTTGTTTGGACTGTGTGTGGGAAAACATTTGCTCTGCTATAACTACACTACACAATCACTATAAGCTACATAACACACACATAAGGGGTGTGAAGTGTCTGAGTACAGAGAGCGTGAGGGAACAAATAGAGAGAGAAAGAATAAATGAATATGCCTTATAATAGGTATACACTACTGTATGTGCAGCGTCCCCTCCTCCCCATTTATGTGAACGCACAACTTGTGTTTGTCCATGTTCATCTGTGGAGTGCTTGCCTCTGTCGCTTTTTGCTGGTGTTGTCCCCCAGTTGGGGGTGCTCTAAGTCTTCCTATGACTCCACTGCTGGCTTGTGTGTGCCTGTCAGTGTTGTGTGTGTGTGTGTGTGTGTGTGTGTGTGTGTGCGTCTCTGTGCCTGGCTATTTGTATTTGGAAGTCACTTTTCAGTTTGACATCTGTGTTGTCATACCACAGTGTCCTGGTATGACTTTTGACTTTTTAGAAGACTCACTGTAAAGAAGACCCACATTTAAATATAGGACTAACTTCAGTATGTTTGTTAGGCCTACTAGTAGTCATAATCATTTTACAAATTGTATACAAGTGACACATTAAAGAAAACACCTGACTCTATGAATAAGGAAATGTAATAATTGCAGATAAAGGACCTGAGGGGACATTGATGTTGTACTGTGGCTGTTTCCACCAGAAGACCCCATCCCAGTTTAGCATCTATTAGCAATTTTGGAACATTATCAAAACAAATAAGGGAATATCTTTTGAGCGAATGGTGGTAAATCCTTCAGGAGAGTTCTGCATAATCAATGAAGCTGTTGTGGAGGCTAATAGAGGCCTGATTTCTTATGACGGCTCTTGAGGTTTCATTTTTCCCCCCCGAATTTGTCACTGTTGCTAAAGCTTGTAAATCCATACTGACCAAAACAGGTTTGAAAAATAAAATATGTTTTTGTAGGACTGGGCAATACTGGTTAAATCAAATATCACAGTATTGTTGCACGACTACCTAGATATTGATGTTGTGAAGATATTGTAGGGATGACTATTTGAGCTTTCACTAAATGGCACACTGAGATTTTTCATAAATTATCATAAGAAAAACGTCGATATAAATGCTAAATGTGTAAAAGCAAAATTAGCAAGAAAAGTTGTGCAAGTTAAAAAAATTACTTACACACTAGATATGATCTCAAATATATAGATAATTGAAATCATATCTAGTCTCATGTTTCAACACATAAGAGCCAAAGTCAAATAACAAATATCGAAGTAATAAAATAATAGTTAGTCGGTTTCATCCACTTTTTCTATCATTCCCCTCTCTATTCCCTTCCTCTTGTCTGTACCGATTTGTTTTTCCCTTTGACTTCCCCTCTTTTCTCTCTGTCTGTCCAGTTTTCTTTACGTCTCAGTCCACCATCCACTTATGATGATTTGGTGTGTGTGTGTTTATGTGTGTGTCGGTACCTCTGTGTGAGTGCAAACACATGGCGTGCCCTAAGTGGGCCATAGCCCTAATGCTAATCAATGAACGTCATTTAGGCCCATTCTCATCTTGCAAACACACACACACACACACACACACACACACACACACACACACACACACACACACACACACACACACACACACACACACACACACACACACACACACACACACACACACACACACACACACACCACAGTGCTTTGCTAATCAATTGAAAATAAGTGTCATTCACTTTTGCTCGTCTGCTAAAGGACACGGCCTGTCTCTGTTTCTCTTAAGACTTATCTCTGTTTCTTTCTGTGCTTCTGTGTTTAGCTTTCATTGTTTGGCTTTATGAGACAAGAGAGTGATCTCTTTTGTCGGCGTAAGTGTGTGAGTCTGCCTTTCTCGTTGCCTGTGTGTGTGTGTGTGTGTGTGTATTTGTGTGCATGCATGTGTTTACAGGGTCAGGCTAAATGGAGATGTATTATTAGTAACCTCTCTGAGCATGGTCACTGTAGTTCCCCAGCAAGGCAATCAGATCACTTAAGAGGCTTCTTGGTCTATGGCCTCAAGCTTCCTGTCTCTCCTTGTATGCATCTCTCTCTTTCTCTCTATCCTTTAATGCCTCTCTCAAACACACACAAAACCCCCGGCAGCCATGGCCATCACCCCTTATCTCCTCTCCCTGCCTCTTCTCCTCTCTACCACTCCTGCCTCCTGTCCTTTACCTCCATGGGGGGAAAAAAGGACAAGGTCATGAAGATAAACATAGGAAATGGAGAGTGGATGAGAGAGAGGGAGACAGAGAGAGCTGAAATGAACCATCTCATTTGGACATTAGCCTCTGGGCGACTGTGGTGAGAGGCTAGCTAGCCTAGCGGATAATGCCCAATTGTGTATGAGGCATTATTTAGCTTCAGTTAGCCGGCTGCTTTGACAAGCTATTACTGGGATGAATGAAGCGCAGGTTAATGCAGGAGTGTGTGTGTGTGTGTGTGTGTGTGTGTGTGTGTGTGTGTGTGTGTGTGTGTGTGTGTGTGTGTGTGTGTGTGTGTGTGTGTGTGTGTGTGTGTGTGTGAGGTTACTGCCCCTGGGAGTCAGTGGCATAGACATTGCTTTACTTTCTCCTTGTGCAATGGAGTAGTGTGCAACACACACAAATACGCTTGTGTAGTTGTGTGTTTCTTGACATTATGCTTAGTGGAGAGTTTCCATCCATGCATGCGCAGACAGACAACATTACCACAGACAGTCAGCTCTTTGTGCTGCATATAAACCCTGTTCACTTGAGTAGGCTGTTCCGTGAAAGGTCCCTTAACCCCGTTGAAAGGACACTGAGGAGTTTGATAGTGAAACCGGTGAATCTGCTTCCATAGACAGAATTACAAAGAAATATCTACAGTATATCATTTCCACATTATTTACAAAGATTTAAAGGCAGTTTAATCTATTTTGTATCTTTTTTTTGTAATTAGTAGACAGCAAAAATGTACACTAAGTTCAGTTTTAGCTTAGCTATCTACTGTATCAACAAAGTATTGAACATTCCTACTGAATAATTTCCCTTCAACTAATTTAAGTGAACAACTCTTTACACTCCATCCCTTAAGATTGTACCGTTAGAAGATGTGTTTTGTAAGCCACATAGAATGTGCTTGACTGACATAACTTCCTTATAAAACTGTCCTACCTTGTTTTATTGCTGATTATAGACCTATAATATCATGTTGGTGTATTGTCTACAATCATGCTTCCTTGTTACTGCAACCCTCAGCAATTGTAGATGTTTGCCTTTTTTTCCCCTTGACTGTCAGATTTATATATGTCCATGATCCTCTCCAACTTCCTGACCACTCAGAGGATCAAGACAACTATTGGTGTTATAAATGTCCCACTTACTCTTATTTTGTTAACACCCTGCATTGCTGTTTGACAGAAATGTACTCTGTCCAGTGTTCACTCTCAGGAAATCTATAAAATGCTCCATAGTTGTTTAAAATGGCACAGAGTAAATTGTGTCTAAAATACACCTCGCTGGAAAGCACTATAGAACATAACTGTTTCTGAGCTCAGACAGTTAAATGAATTCAAGATGTGAAGTCAGCCTAAGTAAATATAAACTTGTATTTATGAACTCATTGCCATTTGTGTTATGTTAAATCCTGATTACTGCACTGGAAGCATTTTCTGTATTTAATTCAAGTCCAAAAAAACTCAAAAAGATGATCCTGTCCTTCAGATATGCCCAGCTAAGTAAAGCATGGATGGGCTGACAGAAAAGAGGAGAGCGTCTAATAGAGATATATCATTACACTGTTATATGTGTAATCCATTGTGCTGCCATTGAACAGCAGCAGCATGAGTTTGGCAGTAGGCCATGCACACACACACACACACACACGCACACGCACACATACGCACGCACACATACACGCTGTGCCTCCAGTGGGGCAGTAATAGAGGGTGTGAGTGTATTAGTCGCTACAGTCCAAGTGTTAAGTGCTGGCCTGGTGTGTGTGAGATCGATGACAGCCGGGCGGCCCCTCATCCACACACGCACACGCACACACACACACACACACACACACACACACACGCACACGCACACACAGGAGCTGTGACACATAGCCTGGGGTCAGGGGTCATAACATCTCTGTCTCTCA